CAAAACTCAAGCAACCACATGACTGAAAATCCTCTGAATCTTTGCTGATGGCAAACAATAAAACAGAGAGGGTCCTTTTGTTAACATTTTAGACTGCATCTACAGGCATGAGCATTTTTGAGTTAAGTTTGGTGTTAATATCTATCTCTACATGTCATCCAGGTTTCTAAGAAGGAAAACACAGATGCTTTGTTTCACTGGAGGGGTGGCGCTTGATGAATTGTGCTGCCACTTTGTACTTAGAGAGTATCAGGACACAAGCTGCACAATCGCTTGCATGTGCAGAAAAACACATACACACACACACACATGCATCTATTTTTGGGTAAAGAACTGGTATGCAGGGACTGAATTATAAAGCCATTGATCTGAGCACTATATGGTCAGAGGAGAGGGAGGGGGCAGACAGCACGTTCCACTCCTCCAAGACTCCAACTGCCATTTTACATTACTATTGATCTTTACACTGAGACACAGAGCACGGCATCGATCTTTACACCAACAAGAGCAGAAAAACACATCTGTACCACTTGGGCCCTACACAGCCGCAGGAAGACGGACTGACCGACAGAGCATGCACATGTGAAAATAAAATATTGCACGGACACAAAGACAAAAGATGAGTTCAGACAAACGGACACACAAATTGGGGTGGAAGGACACTTTAATCTGCTGGTTTGACTGCCTGCCTGCCTCTCTGTCTGTCTGTCCCTTTATCTGAATATAGATACTCTTGTGTGAAGTGCTCCGGGGTTTCACTGTCAGTCCTGCAACAACGTGAGTGAGGAAAACTGGTGCATGAGGCAATTAATATTCAGAAACACTCCACTTTTGGTTCATAAGTAGAAGGGGCCGCTCTAGCAAACAGGAAGGGCTCAGGGGAAGATGACAGAGGAATAGATGACGGGGCACGAGGAGGGACAAGATCTGCAGGAGAAATAGAAGAGATAAGGCCCGGGACGTGAGCAAAATACATTAGAGCTCAGTAAGCAGAGGGAGGCTCTAATCTTAGTTTTCAAGGATATTAACATCTTAATAATGACCCATCCGGCCATACATAAAGTGATCAGAGATAGCCATACATGCATTTCTTCAAGCAGAACAAATTAATCTCACATGGTTTGGTGAAATCTAAATTGATAAGAATTAATTATGACAGTGGGGCAGACACAGGTTGAGAGTGATGCAACACCTGTGGATCAAGGTGAATGAATGGAGGGCAGGGAGGGATACTGAATAACATGCTATAGCAGCAACTAGAGGGGAAGCAGACAAAAATACTATAAAATCAGCCAATAAAGACTATTTTATGTGGATCTTTTTTGTAAAGGAATATTCAATAAAAGGCAGCACATAGTTTCCTCCTGTTTAGCCACATACAGGACACAACCGGCAGCTGTGTCTCCGTCCTGCACCGGCACCCACGAAACCCCTACATGACGGAAAACATAATCTATGACCTCATCTGAAACTCACCAAAGTTTGCTGATACTGAAGCGTCCGGTTTTCGGCCTTGTCCTTCACCATTGTCGCAATATCCTCATTAAGACGCCCGACCCCAGACAGGAGTGCAAGATCGCCCGTTGATTAATCGGCGGAGGCGGAGGACTCGTCGCCGCTGCACGCCATCACATGTGTAGTGTGTAACAGGTTTCTTATCACGAGACCCCCTGCACGATGCAAAGCGTGTGTGTGTGTGTGTGTGTGTGCGTGCGTGCATGTGCCAGATGAGAGCTGGCTTTCGTCTCGCAGCAGCGCTGGTGCGGTTTGACTGCAAAACACCGCCTCCCTCCTCCACTCTCACTGTGCTGCTGTCTCTCTCTGGAGTTAGGCCTGTACTAGACTTGATGATGGTTTGTGTGTGTGTGTGTGTGTGTGTGTGTGCGCGCAGGTGCCGGTGTGATAAATGTTAGTTTGGACACATTATCATGGTATGTTTTTTTTATTATTATTATTCTTGGGTGGAATTTCTAAAAGACTCAACTGTCCTTTGCTCCCGATTTGAGTCATCACTGGATGGAATTGTTTTGAGTAATTCACAAGGGCGAGGCTTGTGGTAGGCGGATATATGGCTCTGTCAATGTCATAAAGAAATATTTACAATTGCACTGCAATAGTAAGTGGATAAAGGACGGTGTGTGAGCAGCCGATAGTGACTTTATAGCAGCCATGTTTAAATCTTGCCGTTAGTAGGCTACATCATTCATAGAGGACGTTTAATGTTGAGTGGATTTAGGCTACACTAAATATGCCCTGCTCATATTATCATTTTACCTCATCGCTGTACCTCACCGTCATGCAGCCAAACAGGATGAGTTGTTTGAAGTGAATCGGCTCCAGTGTTTTGTACAATCAGTTTATAATTTCAGGATTCGATTTCAGATAATCTTTCTAAATCCCATTACATTGTTATTAGGCTACCTGTTGTTCTTTTTAGAGAGGTGTTCTTAAAGGGGTACACCAGCAATTTTTATTGCACTTTTCATAAAGATGGGAATCTCACAAAATACACATTTAAAAAGAATCAATACAGCAAGTTCCTAGTATGGGTCAGGCTCCAAAAACTAGATATTATATTTCCCCTCATGCAACTCTGCATGTAAAACCACACAGTCTCTGCCTGTTTATGTATATGTCCATCAACCTCCTCGCCTCATTTTCTTAGACTTTGGAAAGCTCCTTGTAGAGCAACGGAAGACATACAACCGTTTTCGCAGGCTACTCCCAAAGATGAATAAACTGAACATCATGTGCAAGAATTGGTGGATTGGCCCTTTAAAATTCTTGACGTTCTCATGTTGAGGCAATCTGAACTGGAAAAACAGCAACTCTCCAAACAGGCTTTTGCTCTTTTTGAAGAATGGAAGCAATAAGTACTCAGTGCTTTCATGGGGACAATATAAGTGATTATTGGTTGATGGATCGGATAACATGAAGAACAACAAGTGAAGACAATGTAAGGGCTGCAATTTACTTACATTGTTTTTCTGTCATTCTTTCTGTGCTTTTATCCTTCTTCCATCAGTGAGAAAACATTTTCTGATAACAGCCTACAGATGGCTGACAAATTAAAGCAAAAACCTAATGGGAGTGGTCTCTTCCAGCAAGACCCACATCCTGTGGCACAAAGGGTCAATGAATGAGTATGAAAATGATGTGAATCACACATCCTGGCATTCACAGACACCAGAGCTATTCATTCAGCTATTCATCCCTAATAGAGTTCAAAGATATGCATGTTGAAGCTGAGCAAAGGAAAATTGGAGTTGTTCTCCAGGTTCAGTGGTCCAACATCTTATTAGGACACTTTCTGTCGGTTTTTCCTTAATTGTCACCCTTTTAATATGTGTGTGACCACAACAGATTAAGTCAGAATTTATGCATTGCCTTATATTTAGTTGTATTTTACACAGAAGAACCACAATCTTCTACTACTGGCTGCCAAACAGCTCCACAAGGAGTATTTCACAGTGAAGTGCTGTGCTCATGGGCACCACAACAATCACTATTCAGCCTCTTCTGCCATAAAACATGAGAGACTGTATCCAATACTAAAATCTCACACATGTAGGGTTTGTTACGATCTCAGATCATTTCCTTTCCTAAGATGACACATGTATTATAATACTGTGAGCTCATCACTCTGGGCTTTCACTAAAGGCTTTTCAGAGGTGCTACTCACTGGCAACAAAATCTATTGCACTGAAAGATGTGGTGCCAAGAGAGACTCACACCTGAAAGATAACCACTGTTCTAAGGAACCAAACATCCTCCATGCCGTCAGTTGGATGGGAACTTCTAGAAGCTCAGAACTTTCTCAGGCCAAAGCAAATATGCATACTTTACCCATTCGTGTTTAAATGCACCACAGAAACAGCATGACACAAAAGAATTTGAGATTTAAATTGATGACATCACATTAAACAAATTAACTGGTCACAGGCCCGCTGCATTTTAATATAAAACTCTCTGATCCTTTACAGGTTAAAAGACATAATTCCTCTGGGAGTCAAAGCCTCTGACTGGTTGACAGATAAAACAGTCCTGTGCAAGACTGCAACTGATTGGCTGTTGGCAAGGCAACCAGTTCAAAGCGCCTGACCACAGGCACCAGAATGAACCTGGGCCTCTGAAACCACTGAGTGATGGCGGGGAGCACATGACCACGAATACATGTTTTTATTCACAAGTCTCATTCATGTGCTTCAGGTTCACCTTGGGCCTACAGCGTATCCTCACATCATCTCCTTCTCATCTAACTGAGGGACTGGCAGCCCCAAACAAATCAGGGGTACTTTGGCCCCGACAGCAGAGGAACTGGGTGCTCTGCAGCCCCGAGCACACTGACCCACATCTCTCCATCTACACAGGATTCTTTAGATATACCACCCACCTCTGCATGGAGGCCAGTTTGGTACCAAAATACAAGAGGAAAAATAACACGTCTCCAGTCCTGTGTGACATTTAAGAGACATATCAGCGGTTTTCCTGTCTTGAGTGACATGATGAGAAAGCATAAGAAAATTGTCAGATCCCATAATAAAATCATTTAAATCATGTAGATTTGTGAGAATGAAGTGAAGGCTTTTAAATTCATAATGCCATTTAAAGTTAATTCTACCTTTCATTATTAAAAATGGGCCTAAAAGTAATAGTAAAAATAATTTGAATATGACAGTAAACTATATAGGCCTAAATGTGTGCATTTTATTGCAAGGACCTTGAGTCCTTGATACCAACATTAAGATGTACAACCACCTGTGCCCCTTTTGTTTCTCAACAACCATCCCTGTTGGCTACAGGTGACAGAAAATAATGTCGACAGTAACCAAAATATTACACCAGATTACCAGCAAATACACCATTATCCAATCAGACCTTCAATTACTATTTGTCCTTGAGTCAGATATGGAGAAAGTTCAGGAGACAAGCATGGATTTGACACTTTGAAGAGAGAAAAGATCATCATGATCCATGTTGTCAGGACGCAACGTACTTACGATTTCCCCTGAGTCTTCCTTTCTTCCTCCCTTTTCTTTTTTCTTCTCTCCTCCTCGGGCTGCGGATTCAAAACCGTCAGCTGTGTCCCTCCATTGCGCCTTGGCGGAACAATGACTGAAATAAAGGGGCACAAAGCTACAGGTTGTAGCGCGCACTTAATCGATGATGCAACCAGGGTAGCGGATGACTCCCGGGGATCACCCTTGACTCCAGCGAAGGGCAATCTCAAAAGATCCCAGAGACTTGGCTTGTTGCTGATGCGCAATACATATAGCACCGCGCCAAAGTTATCAACACGGCGCGTAATTACCGGTTTTTCGCCACCAGAGCAGCGCACAAGAACAGGCAGCTGCTGGCTGGCTTTGGAGACCAGGAGCGACAACAGCCAGTCGTCTGAGAGCGCGGCTGCATCGGATTGTGAGGCAAAGAAACTGTATTATAAGATGCTACAGTCTCCTCATCGGCTCCAGTTGAGGTGGGAGGGAGACAGCGGGGTACCGGGTGTCGTGTCCGTGATGCAATGCGGGTACCGTCAGTGCCATGGCCCGCAGTTTTCTCCTCGTGTGCAGAAATCCAAGCGCTCCGCTCATTATCTGCGGAGCCGCGGCGCACATTCGTCTTAATTAACGCGGCCGGGACTGTCTGCAGAGATGGGAGGAGAGAAAAAGAAAACATGTGTTAGATGTTCATGCTCTCTCTCTCTCTCTCTCTGCATCATACACTCTCTCTCTCTCTCCTTGTGACAACACACACACACACTCTTGGGGTCTAATATTAGACGTCACGGCACGTACTAACAGCCTGGGCGCAAATAGAGCAGGGCAGGGGCTCAATCAATGTCCAGGCTGGACTGGTGGGAGTGAGCACGTGTGTCTGAAATGAAGCTGGATGGTGCATTCTTGTTTTCTCTTATCCATGTCTTTGAAAGCTATTAGCCCCCCCACACACACCACCAACACACACATTGCAATTGAATTGGAGCGTCACCGCGTCTTCCAGCTGCGCCACCATGGCTTTACAACCCGATGGATGATTGCATGCATCCGGTTGAAACCGCTGGTGCACTTCTCCTCTTGGGTGATAAATATAGCGTGTAGGGCCATTTAACTATCCTCAGATGGGTAATCACGTTGGCAGTGATGTCACCTTGTCCTCCCTGAAATTACCACATGTCTTGTAAGAATAGCCTTCACGAAACAGAGTCAAAATTTAAGTGTAACTATTATAAAAAGTTATAAAATAGACACCTTAGCACAATTTGGTCCATTTCTATAAGGTATATTAACAACCTTCTACATGGTTGTGGATGTCTAAAATCCTAAAAAAACCCCACTAAGTCTAAGTCATGCGTGTGCATTAAGTCACCACAAACAGGTTACACACCCACATGTAGCTTACACAGTCCCACATGCTGTATGTGGCTGCGTAGCTCCCTCTGACACCAATTTTGTGAATTATATGAACCCAAGCTGCTACCTCTATTGGCTGGAGCAAACCTTGACAAAAGGTAAATAGCCTCCAGCAGTATTAACAGGGTTTCAGCTGTGTAAATGGAGTCTTTCACAATAATAAATCATTAACCTTTTTGTCAGCAAGCATGCTGTCCCTTGAACACCGACTCTGGCCAAACCAGAAGCAAAATAACCCTGCTAATATCAATGATATGCCATTTTCAGTCTATAACATTTTGTTATGCTGCGCAGCAGGAAAGTTGGAGCGCATCCTGCTCTCAGGCTAGATAACACTCGCACTTCCCACTAGTGAACGAGAAGGTGGGAAATCAAGTGGTGAGAAGACAAAAAGGACACACAGCTCCTCTACAGTGGACACAGGGCATTTTCCACCTGGCACATTTCTTAATGGAACAAATGTGGATTCATCAGCAGCGGCCAAGCCGGGCATGGCGTTAAGCAGTGAGTAGTGAGCCTAAAAGGTTTTACTTGTGAGGATTTTAATGCTCTTGTTATAAGCTGAACAAGTTGGCTTGTGGCGCCTCAGCTTCAGTGTGTGCTTCTGTGTTCGCCCAGGACTCCTGCTGCTCTGGATGGTAGCCTCTGAGGTGTGGGATGCTGAGACCAAACCCATAGATTTTGTGTGTAATAAAAGTGCCAGGAGGGCTATGAATATTGTGGCAGAGATGGAGAGTGCACTGGTAAGGCTATGATTGTTTCTCTTCCCCAACATTTCTCTCTCTCTCTCTCTTTTTCTCCTGCTGTATATAATCCTACTGTCTGTCTGTTGTTACCTGTAGTCTCCCATCAGTCTGTCTCCCTGTAGTCCACCTATTTGTCCAGCGTCTGTCTCCTGTCTCTTCCATGTCTCCTCCCTTGCAGAGTGGCTGCAATGGCTCGACAACCCTCTCCACACCTCTTCAGCTACCCTGTACCGAGCTTCATGTAGCATCTTGGAAAAACAAATCAGTATGTTGGCACATGTATGAGTCCAAAATCCTCCACCACAATGGAGTTCTTACTTACTTACTTACTATTTTAGTGTTTTTTCTTGTCTTAAATAATATCCTCTTAAAACATCTAATTGCTTTTCTTTATCTGCATGTGTGTTACTGCAGCACCAGGAGAAGAGAGGAGACATAGTTGCATCCTTGAGGCTTCTTATTGAAGGTGTGAAAGTTGTGATGGGCCCAAGCCAGCTAGGATGTGTGGCTTCGCTACTGCAGAGGATGGAGAACAACATCAACAACTACCTGCTCATTCTCACACACCTTCAACTCAATGTAAGTGGCGGCCACAGTGACAAACATGCACACGAGCAGTACTCCCAGGAAGCACTGATTTCGGTGATTTGTTGGTCAAAAGAAATGCACGTTTCTGGATGTCTTGGATACATATAAACATTTATATACCAATACTTCACTGTTAAAATGTCCTACATACATATCAACATAGACAATGAAACATAGGCTTCTAAGAAACTTTAAATTTTGATTTTAACGTCTGGAAGCCTTCTGACCTGCAAATCACCAAGTCAAAGCTAACTGGGCTCACTCTTCGTTGCTCACACACAAACACATCCCAACAAACAGAGCCAAGTAAAATTCATCAGTGTGTTGATGAACATTCACACAAAATGAGTGAAAACGTGTTGATGGGCTTCTCTCTCGCTGGTTTACATCTGAGTCAGAGGCATTATCAGTTTCCTCTAGTGTGGAAATATCCTGGTTTCTGATAAATCTCTGGCTTTCTGGAATAACTGCGACCTGGGAGTGATGATGTTATGCCGTGTGACCCCAAGCCTTCCTTCCTCAGGACAAGAAGAAGATAGCAATGCATACTTTCCTAGTGAGAGAGTGCAAGATGAAAGTCCTGTGATCTGTGTTTTACATAAGTGTTTCTATCAGTATAACGCAATTTTTAAATCTGTGTTGGGTCTTATGTCAACCTCTTTTTCGGTTTAATTTCCAGCCACCTTTTCTTACTTTTGTTCGTGTTCCTTCATTTATTCATTTCTAAAACCATCTTCATTGTTGTGTTTTCTGTTTGGAACAGCAGGGGCCAGTGGTGAGTCCAGCACTGACCTGTGTTCCTCGAAGCACCCAGAGTCTGAGCAGAGTCCTGCTAAACTACAACCAACTGATCTCAGGCAAACTGGAGTGGTTTATGGTTGACCTGGAAGACAGATGCATTTCCCAGTGACGCAAAAACAATGTTCTTCACAACGGTCAACAAAAGAAGAAGAATAAAAATCCACCATAGCAAAGCAGCTGGAGCAATCTGGATTTTCTCCTCATGTTGCTGCCTTTCTCAAAATATGTAAAAAGTCTGCTTTTGTGTAGTGTGATGTGTAGACTTAAAAAGTAGAAATGCACCCTTCTCTACTGGTCATTAAGAGGAACTGCATTTGGAGAGGTAGAGGAAAATGAAAGGCAGGAATGTTTCTGCAAATGATGAGCACCATGGACAAATCAATGTATGATAGGAAGGATGTTTTGTGTATCATTCTACATAGAGATGCTTTAAATTTGATTGCAGGCCTAGAACCAGTACAAGCCTATAATCTGCCAAAAGGCAGGTATATTTTCTTTAGCATACAGGCAGCTTATGTGCAAGTCTCCACTAGATGGAAAATTATTAAAATGCAAATGATTGTTTAATATCAGAGGCTGTCCAGCTTGACTGCCTGACCAGAACCAAAAAGTCAACTTGTTGTCTGGATTCATGTTTTGGTGCCAGATTTGTTTAGTACCTCAATAAGTGATAGGAAGGTCTTGCAAAGAGGCTGAAAACTCACAGCCCATAGCCCTAAAATTGTTTTATTCTTTGTTTATTTTATGTATTAATATTATGCATATAGGGCTATACAGTCACATTTTCTGAATTTAGATAATAATCATAGAGATACCTATCAAAGACACTTATTGAAGACTAACGGAGACTGGAAAGTGTTGATATATACCTTTCTAGTATGAATTTGGTGAGCAGATTTTGTTTATTCTCATTGCACATTTAGATCCAATCCCTGTTTACATTTTTTTTAAAGGCTATTGCTGTAGATGTGTGCATGTTTCTATGTATTACTTTTTTAAAAAATTCCATCTTGGGTGTCTGTGAATTTCTGTATGTACATACCCAGATTTTTCATTTACAGTAAGAAGACATTTTGGCAAGGCTTTATATTGATACAAAGCTGTTTAGGATACAAGACCTTTGAAATATAATATGAAATAAACTCTGATTTCATCCAGTCATTCATTTAATTACTAATTTATATTATTTGGTTAGGTAGGTAGGTAGGTAGGTAGATAACCTAATTTATTTTTAGTTAGGCTATCAATGCATATTAAAAAAAACTGGAGCTATCACAAGTAAACCGTCAACAATTTTTTTTCTCTCCTCTTTATTAGCAGAAAATTAGTAAACCGCCATTAGCATGCTTGCCTGCAGAAGGTGACGTAGAAACCGGTAGGGAAAGTGAATGTTTGGAGGTGAAAGGCGGCTATGGCAAACGCTGGTTGGGTTGAACCTGTCCTTCTCAGTTACCGCCATCCAGCTGCATTTACCTTTTGCTACCGTTAACTTAACCACCATCTCGGAAAAGACTCCTTACCGAAATTGGGAATATCGGAGTGGTGTTCGGCGTGGTCATACCAACTTTACTGTCCATGTTCAACGTCGTTGGAATTGGTGAGTAAGGGAGGGAAAAAAGAATCGTTTCTTGTAAAGAAGACTAGACGGAACTTAAAAAAACAAACAAATATGTCCTCTCAAACCAGTCCTTCCGTTCAGTTTGCACCAGGTTAGCGATTAGGTCGATGTGATAAAATTTAATAATTTTTCCTTATCTGTCAATAAGTTTGTATCATTACTTGGCTCGTCAATTAAATGTTAAATGTCTCAAAAATTGTAAAAAAATAAATAAAAATGCTCATCAGTCTCCTCATCATCTCCACTGCTTGAGATATTTAGTCTACAGTCATTGTAAAACAGAGAAAAGCAGAAACTGTTTTGACAGTTTTCATGACAAAAATTAATGAAGCTATTTTTCAAACTTGTTGACAGCAGTTTTTCAACAGAAAACTAATCCATTAATCAGCTGATTGTTTGACCTTATCCCATTTTCCCATCAGTTGTGTCCATTATGTAATCAGTAAAAACATATTCTTGAATGTGAATTTGCTAACAAAAGTAATGCTACAGGCCTGAGGTAAACATTAGGCTACATTATAAATAAAATGTCCTCCTACCACTTGCAGGATATATAGTGGGTCAAGCAAGGCTGTACCAGTCCATTGCCATGTTCCTGGTGGCCTACTTTATCATCACAATGACTGTGTGTGCCATCTCCACCAATGGTGCCTACTGTATCCTTTACTGCTGAGAGAGACTTGTGCTGTAGAAAGGGATAGTTTGTGTTATTACCTGCAGTAGATGGTGATCAGTTCCTAGAGATTGAAGAAGCAAAAGTTGAAATGAGCACAACAGCAATGACGAAATGCTTTTATGTGTGAAACATACCTTTATGAACCAGAATATACAGAATGTTTGCAGATGGAGACTGAAAGACAGATAGGAAACTTCTCTTCTGGAAACTGTGTTTCTTTACTGTTTGTTTAGTAAGTTTTTTTATTTGTAGGTGTTTAGTGCTATCTTACCTGATGGGTTAGGTACAGCAGTGCTTTTCAGGAAGTGTCAAAAATTATCACTGCAAGAGTTGTCGGTGTTTGCTGTGGAGTGTTGTTTATGGTTGAGAAAATATAGTGCCAAGGGAAACAGGCTGACAGTAAGGTAAAGCGGTGAACATATTCTAAATATAGCACACACTTAAACTGATACAGATTTTCTAGGTGGCTAAAATGCATTTTGCTGCTGACCCTGTCCACAACAGTACACTGCTTTGCTTCCGTGCTGGTACTGATTATTGACAAGTAGCCTACCTCATACAGCCCCACTTCAAAAAAGTCTCATTTGGGTTTCTGTCTGGGATTAAGATTGAATAATGGATTGACAAAAAATGACCCTGCTCATAATTTCTCACCATGATTTGCTTTATCCACAGATGGCACATGTCCCCAGTGGTCGATCTTTATCCGTCTTGGTGAGATACTGTGCCCAGGCTTAGTTGGTTTACACTTTTGAATCTGGAATCAGATATTCCTCACCTTGGAACCACAGACATGATCAGCCGAGCCCTGGGTCCAGAGTTTGGTGGCAGTATTGGGATCATGTTTCTCTTTGCTAATGTGTGCGACGGTGCTCTCTAGATTTTGGGTCTGGTTGAGGCTATCGAGTCTGCCTTTGGTGTCCCAGAAGCTAAGGTCCATTACGATATGATAGGACATCTAGGCTCTTCCTGTGTTTCATTGTCTGCTTGGTGAGACTTGTTGTTTTCATTTTATTTTAATTTTAAAATCAAACTCCCAGTGTGGAACTTTACTCTCCTATTCTGGCAGTGAGAGTAATTACACAAATACGGTTGACGCATGCTCATGACGTATTCCTATGGGTTAGTTTGCCCTAGACTCCTGATCAGAAATAGGTACAGAGACATTTCCGCACTTCCAAGACAATTATCCATTATTGTGGATGAGAGTAAATGTATTAACGGCATAGCCTACTCCAGATATTTTACAAATACGAGCCTGTCCAAAAGCAGTAACATGACATTTGTGTCCTCCATCCCTTTTTTTCTCTCAGCACTCTCCAACGAGGAAAAGTTACTCTAATAGTTATCCATTTTTTTCCTTGCTGTTGACCGCTTTCTTTTTTTGACTGTAATTCTTCCTCTGAACACAGAGTTTCTTTTTTTTATCTGGAGCATCAGTAACTTGATGATGCTTCTGAGGATTTTCTGCCATCAGCTCTGCCATACTCCTAGTTCTCGTAGCCATTTGCCCTTCGCTGCAGTTGCTCCAGAGCCATGTAGAGAGAGTTGAGTCATGGACGTCCAACTCATGTGGCTTAATTGGCTTGACTGTATACAATACAACATTGTCAAAGTATATTAACAAAAACTGTACAATCATAATAAACATAAATAAACAATTCTCAATAATAAACATTCTCCCCAATGGACCTTTTTTGTTTTCTTTTTTTAACAACAGTGGCGGATTGTGGAACTCTCTGCATGGCTCTGGGTTGCCCCCCCCCTTCAGCTCTGACAAACCTGCGCCAGCGTGGGAATGTCACCACAGAAACCACATTTATATATAATACAGATAGATTTACCTGGTAGTGACAGGCTTAATCAGCATTGTGTGAGCTTGAATGTAACAGACATTCATTTAAATGTAAAAGTCCTGCACTCCAGCTTTAAGATATTCTGTCAACTCCTCTCTGGTTTGTACAATTGGAGGGGAGATTTAATTATCTGAGAACCATTTTTTGCTAAATACACAACCATTTAGAATAAAAGGACTCTTAAGTCTAAACCCCTGCTGGCAGCATGTAGAGGCTTATTGTTGATTACACTGCACAATGTAAAGTGTGTTATGCTGTTAGAAATAAACATTCATTACAAATGTGAAAAAAATTAAAATGTGTTCATACTGCAATCATAAAGGGCTATACATAATTAGAATGAAAAAGTTGATCCTCTTCTGACTGTACTCAGTAATTTTCATGGCAGTCTGCCAGTTAGCTAAAGATAGATCAGGAGTGCAGAGTTGCCTTTTTTGCTGCATGGTGCCAAAAGAGGAAAGCTTGTGTAGAAATTCTGGCTTGATGCTGGTGCTAAATGAAGGTCAGGAGATCATTATAACTTGTATCCACTGTAAAGTTACCTACTGAGAACAGTGAATATCCACTAGTAAATCTATGGCTGGTAGATACCTTGTCCTGGGCCAAATTGAGGAGAAATTTGACTTGGATGTGCTAGGGGCTAAATATATAGATATAAATAAATATATATGTAATGTCAGTAGTTCCTAAATTTAATGTTGGCTTGTCATTACAGGTGGAAGCCAACATATATGCCAAAGCTACCTGTATTATCTTCATTAAAGTCATGATAATAAATTAAAATGTGATATGTTTGCATCATTTTTAAAAAATAAGATAATTAACATCCAAACTGGAATTATTAATAACACTATTAACCCAAGTAGTCAAACCCTCAACACCTCTCGGGGTAAATTTAATTTCTTTTGCAGAATCAGTGGAGCAGAGCTCCATAAAACCATCATGCAGATGAAATCATCTAGCTGTTCCTTAGATACAGTCCCTACCACATTTTTTAAAGAGGTCTTAGATTATTTAATTGACGATGTATTAAACATTGTAAATTGCTCTCTAGATTCTGGTATTTTTCCCGATTCATTTAAAACCTTTAAAGCCTTAGGTGACGCCCTTACTGAAGAAGCATGACCTTGACCCCTCAGTGCTGAGCAACTACAGGCCTATCTCAAATCTGCCATTTTTGGGTACGATTCTGGAGAAGGTAGTGTATAAACAATTAAATATGTTTTTACATGAGAATAAGATAACACAATTCATTTCAGTCTCGTTTCAGAAAGGGAAATAGCACAGAAACAGCACTTGTGAAGGTTGTCAGTGACCTCAGGGTGAGCTCTCATTGTAAAAATGTTTCCATTCTTGTACTCCTTGATCTGACAGCTGCCTTTGATACAGTGGACCACAAAATTCTTTTAGATTGTCTTGAGAACTGGGTTGGTATCTCTGGCACTGCCCTGTCATGGTTCCATACCTATCTGACTGGCAGAAGTTATTTTGTCGGTCTTGCTGACCATATCTCAGATAACCTCGATATCCTCTCAGGTAATCCACAAGGTTCCATTCTTGGTCCTTTACTGTTTTGTTTGTACATGTTACCACTTGGAAAAATGATCAGTGATCATGGAGTGAATTTACACTTTTATCTTCTGTCTTAATTGATGTAACAGGGAAAAGTAAGACAGGTCTAGCTTAGAGTAATTTAGCTGACCCCATAAGTTCTTGACATTATAGCTTTAGGTATTTCTCACACATACTTGTCCTCGTCAGGAAGACAACAATTGACTGATTAGTTAGAGACAGTAGCTCAGACGTCAGGCTAGCAGATATCAGTGTTCTCTGGGAATCTTACAAGGTTAAGTCCTACAAGAACTCACTGGCTCCACAGATTAGAGTACAACTCATGGATAGTGAGAGATTCCAATATAACAAAGCATTGGAGTATAAACATCAGATAAATAGTTGTTCTAGGTGAAAGGTGACCTAATAGAGAAACCTACAGGCACTAGGGGGAAGACAGAAACATAAAAGGGACCACAAGATGTTATCCTTCCGATCTGGTGTTGGCATTTGACGTGTTCACATGTTGTGTGCTGGCACTGTATCTCCTCAGCCAGGCTCAATAAACCATGCTATTTTAAGTCTCCGAAACTTCTTCACACCTGAACCTGGCTCACAACAATATCATTTCAACAACTGCTATATTTATCTGTTGCACCAGACAACCCCAAAGCTCTCGACCCCTTAGTGGAATGTCTGTCTTCCATTACACATTGGATGAGTCAAAATTTTCAGAAATTCTTGTGGTTGGCTCTAAACACAGAGACAAGTTATTTCTAATGGATTGAAATACCTGGCTGTGTAGGAAAAATCTGAGTGTCCTTATTGACTCTGAGTTGGATTTTAAATCACATTTTTACAGTGTTACAAAGGTCGCATTTTTTCATTTAAGAAACATTGCCAGAGTTAGACATCACCTTGCCTGGGAAGATGCTAAAAGTTGTTACATGCTTTTGTTTTTTCACGGTTGGATTATTGTTATGCAATTTTTACTGGTATATCCCAAAAATATATATGAATAGGCCACCACTAATTCAAAATGTGGCAGCAAGAGTTTTAAGTAAAACCGGAATAAGTGAACACATCACTCCAGTTTTAGCTTCTCTCCACTGGCTTCCTGTAGCATTTAGAATTGATTTTAAAGTTCTTTTACTTGTTTTTAAAGCACTTCATGGTTTAGCACCTTCTTATCTATCTGACCTTTTATCGAATGTTCCAACTCGCTCTCTCAGGTCCTCTGAGGCTGGTCGTCTTAATTTCCCAGAAATGAACAGTAAAACGTTTGGTGAAGCAGCTTTCTGTTATTATGCACCATGGCTTGGAACAAACTCCCATTACAAATAGGGGTGGGGGAAAAAATCGATACAGCATAGTATCGTGATATTTGCTATGGCAATTCTGTATCGATACACAGACGCCAAGTATTGATATTTTATTATATAAATTGCAGATGGGAGTTTTAACTTTTTGGTACTAGAATAATAAAATCTATTGCTTTTTTAGTCCACTAGAAAACTTAACAGGACCAAATAGAGGTCTGAAAAAGTGATATGAACAAACAGAGAAATGTATCTTTTTAGATAAATAGATGTTGACAAAGTTTGACTTTAGGGACCTAATTGGAAGTTGGAAAAAGGTAATAAATTGCAATATATCTTAATATATTTAAAATCGCAATAAAATCGAATCGTAACATAAATATCGTGATAATATCGTATCGTGGGGCCTCTGGTGATTCCTACCCCTAATTACAAATAAAAGAAGCAACCTCTCTTGATAGTTTTAAGAAACAGCTCAAGACCTACTTTTATGACTTTGCTTTTTACTGATTATAGTTATTCTTTTGCTTTTATCTATTTTATACCTTTATATTGTATTTATTTGGGCTATCTATTGCTTAAGAGTCTGAAACCTTACTTGAAAGTTTTCAAATGTGATGGTCGGGCATTTTATAGGTTTTAATTATCAACATATTTGAACAATGTCGGCCCTGTATGATAAAAACAGCCTTTGTAATATTAGGTCTTATTTGTTAACTCTGGACTTTAATTATTTAAGCAGACGATATAATGCATGATGAATTACTGACCTGGAAATACCTGTTGTCTGTACAAATTATCCCAGGTATGTGTGAATGATCAAACCTCCCGTCACTCCTTCCAGCCAATTATACAGTAGACTACAGTACTGGTGACATGATGAGTTTTTGCCACAATGTTCTCATACAATCTTCTTACAGCCGCAATCAGACTAGCTGAAACAAGCTAGAATATATATTTAAACAAAAGTTTCCATAGGTGCCATAGTTGCTAAAAAGTGTTGGCTATAACACTGTGGTCACTTTAATCTTTAATCTTTTTTTCAAAAGAAGTTGTTGTATTTAAGCAATTTAGCTTTTGTTTTCTTTTTCAGAGAGAGAATATCTTTGAGATTGTACTCTTGTATTTGTTTTGTTTGTACATGTCAAAAAATGTGGTTTTACTGACACAGTTCTGCTAAAGACTCATTTCATATGTGGAGTCTTATCTGTTATCCTTAACCACCTCCTCCAAAGAGGTTACAGTTTCTTGGGAGATATCAATGGCCATCCCTGGTGACAATTGGGATTTAGTCATTCTCCATTACTGACCTGACAAGAGCCTCCAGGATCCTGTATGCTCTGTCCAAAGACGACCTGTTTGGTGAGATTCTTGAACATGTGTCCTGCTGCCCAATGTTTGCAATTTATTTTGTCTGTCACTAACATTAAGAATGACATACTGAAGAGCACCAAATTATTGTTTGTTTGTTGGCAGAGTGGGATTTTAGCTGATGTGACCTCTGACCATTTTTGTAGCGGGAAGGATTTAATTACTAATCTTGCTTGCTTGTTTAGGTTATGATCAGGGCTAAACGGTTGATCCAGAGTATATGAAAGCATCCAACTCCAACTGGTCGTCTTCTATAAAGCTGAGTGAACATTTTAATAATCAGCCATCTGTTGGAAGAGGCCTCCATCTCAAATGTGAGAAATTGACACTTGTTTAATTAATTTCATCATGTCTCGTTTTCCTAGTACAGGCATGTTAAATTGGAAAGCATCGTTTGACAACAGATGGCTTGCAGTGTTGACTTTCTCAAAAGAAAATCCTTGTGTGTTTGGCTTAAGGACGAGTACAAGATGACTCAGTTGTTTATCTGGTTAAGGACCATGAGCAATAACTGACAGATTGGCTTTGCTTATGATGTTTTAAATCTCTACAGGTGGTGTCCTGACTCTGGTGAGGAATACATCTGGGGGTGGGAACCTCTGGGTGTCAGTGCTTATCTCCTGGTTGCTTGTACAGGTAGGATAGTACACCACATACAAGGAGTGGTTACAGTTTTCATCTGTCCCTTGCCCTTACCCTGAACCCCTTCCTGTTCATATTGCTCATTTGTTAGATTAGCAACCTGGTTAAATTGTTGCCCTGTGAATTTACCTTTTACCCACCTTCCAAAGGGATATTTTTTTTACCATTGTGCGTCGACAGGTACCAATAACCCCTTTATTGATGGCTAAAGAAGAATGATGAGCGGTAATGGACAGTAAAACAACATTAAATTGATGGTAAACAACAGAAAAACATTATAGCCATTTACACCCTAATAGTCTGTAATAGTAATGTAATATTGTGTGTGTGTGTGTGTGTGTGTGTGTGTATAATAGTTTTTCATGAATTGCATTCAATTCAAGGCAGATTTTATTTGTTATTTACACACATTTCATACTGAGGACATATTTAAAGTAGTAAATTCACTGACAAGGCAAAGGGATATGGCATCACCTTGTGTAATTTTTACACTGCAGCTCACTGACATTAGATCTGGCAATATGGATAATTTAGGGCTGCTAAACTAGTCCACAAATGCCAACTTAAATTATATTGGTGGGTTGTGTAAGTTTGAATCAGATCCAAATCTTATCATTATACTAGTTACTATTTTGCAGATAAACCTAGTAACCCTCGCCTCACAAAAAATCATAACATCAGCATATTAACTTGATAGCAAGGTTTGTTAAATTTTGTATTTCTTTTATTTTTAATTCGTTGACGTATATAGTATAGCTGTAATTTGAACCAGTTAAAGTGTTTATCGGGGTGGTTCATAATGGGGTCCAGGGACATCCAGGGTCCTGAAGCTGCTCATGTAGTCTAGGGAGCTATATTGTTTGTATACATTGTTTTCAGTAACACTAAATGAATGTGTGTGCCAAAGCCTGCTCACTGTTATTGCTAGAATGATTACATATTTGAATTATCAATTCAAACATGGAGCAGCACAAAAATACAAAAAACTAAATTAATAACAACAAACAATTACTAGGTGGTAATTTTGGCAAATCTCCTACAGCCTAGTGTTTAGAACCTCTGGTCTATTATACAGCCATTCTTCTAAGAGTGGTGTTTTGATTGTAGTGTAAACCAAACCAGTGTTCTCCATTCCTTCCACTATGGGGTGCTGTCTGACAGTAAATTAAACACCATAGCTGTTGTGATAATTTTCTTGCTGTTGTTAAATGCTGCTGTGAACCTGGCCTGTTTGGCTCTCAAATGGGCTTCTGCACCAAACGTCAGGTACAGTGCAGGATATTGCTGTAAATAAAGTTTTTTTGTTTGCATGACCACAGTTGGAAAAAGTAATTTTCTTTCCATATTCTGTCATTGGAGCCAATGCAGTAAGGAGTGATGAGAAAGCATGTGTAGCCCTCAAAACAAGTAGGATGCACATATGTTTAGACTCTCATACCTCAGTCACAGCCTCTTCACATTAGTCATGTGTATTTTACAAAGTAGTTCTTAAATTCATTTGTCTAGTTTGGTCCATTAGTCTGGCCTGTTGAGTGCCTGTAGAGGGCAGTATATGCCCACAATCATCATGGTTGCAGTACAAAGTCTGGCTTTACCAGGCTGTTAGTGTATTGTTGTAAACTGTGGCTGATGTCACTAATGTGTCACAGGTTTTCTCTATCTCAGCTTCACTATCACTGTCTCAGCACAGACCTGTACTGGTTGACCTGTTGCTCACTGGCTGTCTTGCTGGACTGAACAATATTTCAATCTCAAAACTCACCTGTTTGAGAATGAATAAATAAAAAAATATATCTTCATAGCAGTGGCTTGGTTGGAATGAATTGTAGCATGTCACGTGGGCACGAGGAAGAAACCTACAGCTCATTCCTCATGAACAATTTTAAGTTCATTCAACTTTCTGACATTTTCACTTAGCTCACAGAAAAATTCCAAGGGTTTAGAGCTTTGAGTGGACATTGGGATTAGGCCAGTATGTGGTTTGCACGTGCACACTCCAAAGGAAGATATTCATCCAATTCAATATTATCATGAAATGGATATCTTAAATTACATCTTAAATATTTCCATGCTTAATTTCTGTAGAGGAGAACACCTTGTTCTACATTTAGTTCGTTCCATTATTTACCTAGTCTGGTTTGTCATTTGACAAATGAATCAACCTCTGAACTCGGCTGTTGCATTATTAGAGTATCAGTTCTAATGCTTTGAAAACTACCTGAATCATTCAGTGAGTCATTTAGCACAGGAGCTCTGTGGTGGGCAATGGCGAGACTGTAGCTACTGACAACTGACAACTCCATCTGTGGCACGTGTCACGTTTGGTTACAGAAAATTCCATGAGTTTGTACAGACAACCTGCATGTGGGAGGGAGTGTGTTCACAGATAAGGCGCAAGTACTATTAAGGGATACCACGTTCACAGTCGAGCAAGAAATATGGGCATCTAAGATGTAATAGACTTTTCCGTCATCTAAACATTTTTTTTAAGGAAAAAACTTGATTTGTCTTTATATACAAAGAAGCAATAGTTCACCTGTAGATTCAACCGAATGGTCAGAGCAGTCAGATTGAGGGTTATCCTTCTATTCTGTCTAAGATAGCAAGTGGAAAGATTGATGGACTGAATCCCTTGCGACCCGTGATTGGCTGGGAGGGTTGCTGAAGCAGGAAAAGTGTAATAAACTGTCGGCAAGTGTTTTTGTCTCAAATTAAACAGACCATTTGAAATACTGAATATAAATACTGTAGCTGGAGCATTAGTTTTAATTGCAGGGAGACTCTAAACTATCTGTTTTACACTCTAGCCTACAGCATCTACCTGAGGTGTTAGTTAAGGAAGAAGTGTTTTCCATGTGCCAAACACATTAATTTCTACTTCCCCAGCCATTTTAATGTATCAGAAACTGCTATCCCTTCTAAATAAATTTAGAAAACAGGTTAGTCGCTGTAATTATCTCTTTTCATGAATACAACTTTTGATGCCTAAGTGATCAAAACCAACCCTTGCTTTTGTTTTTCAAAATGGATGACATTAAATAACCATACCCATTTCATTCATAAGTGCACTGAAATAGTACAGATGTATCGTCATCACTGGGAACAGGAGTGCAGTTTGAGATGTGAAGTGGTGCTTGTAGCCTGCTGACTAATATCTTTAGTTTCCGTCTGCCATGTCGGGAGTGGGATCGTCACAGAATCTAGACATGGAAATAATTCTGATCTGCATCATTAAACATCCACTGATCAATAGGAGAAACTGAGCCATAAAAGGGGTGTGGTCATGATATCGTCTGCCCCCTGGATCTTGTAACCATATGTGAATTGGGGTCATACAGGAAATGGAACCTTACAAGAACCTTATCAGAGAAGAGTGTATTTCCTATGGAGCTAAAATGCTAAAAATAAATAACTGAGCATTAGTTCAGAAAAAGGAATTGCAAACAGTGAAGATCATCCTGATTTGCCCTCTGTAACATCAGTGGACCTTATCTGGAATAATAACTATTGCCCCCATTCATCATGAGCTGAACTCAAAGATCTAAGACTTTCTCTATGTACACAAATGGCCTATTTCTCTCAAATATTGTTCACAAATCTGTCAAAATTTGTGTTCGTGAGCTTCTCCTTTGCCAAGATAATACATCCTACTCACAGGTGTGGCATATCAAGATGCTGATCAGGCAGCATGGGTATTGCACAGGTGTGCCTTAAGCTGGCCACAATAAAAGCCCACTCGAAAATGTACAGTTTCACTGTATTGAGGGAGTCTGGGGGGTCCAGAAACCAGTCAGTATCTGGTGTGACCACCATTTGCCAGTGCAACACATTTCCTTCGCATTGATCAGCTGCGATGGATTGGCGACCTGTCCAGGGTGTACCCCGCCATTTGCCCGATGTCAGCTGGGATTGGCTGCAGCCCCCCCGCGACCCTGCGATGGACGGAAGGATAGAGTTGATCAGGTTGTTGTTTGTGGACTGTGGAATGTTGGTCCACTCCTCTTCAATGGCTGTGCGAAGTTGCAGTCAGGTTGAGACCCCGATGAGGACAACGAGCATGCAGATGAGCTTCCCTGAGACGGTTCCTGACAGTTTGTGCAGAAATTCTTTGGTTATGCAAACCGATTGTTGCAGCAGCTGTCCGGGTGGCTGGTCTCAGACGATCTTGGAGGTGAAGATGCTGGATGTGGAGGTCCTGGGCTGGTGTGGTTACACGTGGTCTGTGGTTGTGAGGCCAGTTGGATGTACTGCCAAATTCTCTGAAATGCCTTTGAGACGGCTTATGGTAGAGAAATGAACATTCAGCTCATGGGCAACAGCTCTGGTGGACATTCCTGCAGTCAGCATGCTAATTGCACGCTCTGTGGCATTGTGCTGTGTGATGGAACTGCACATTTTCGAGTGGCCTTTTATTGTGGCCAGCCTAAGGCACACCTGTGCAATACCCATGCTGTCTGATAAGCATTTTGATATGCCACACCTGTGAGTGCTCACTAACACAGATTTTGACAGATTTGTGAACAATATTTGAGAGAAATAGGCCTTTTGTGCACATAGAGAAAGTCTTAGATCTTTGAGTTCAGCTCATGATGAATGGGGGCAAAAACAAAAGTGTTGTGTTTATAATTTTGTTATGTTTGTTATGGATAAGATAAAGCGTCTCTAATCGCCATTAGATTTAAGCCATGACTGGAAGAGAAACCCCCATATTCTATAGTCAGTATTTCCCATAAAACTTTAGGGGTCTCAGTAGTTAATTTAACACCCCCTAATTTTTGTTATAGTGTTGATGCTGAAAATGAGTGTTCCACTATTAAGATATTAAGGTCATTGGTATGATTGGGGGAATGTTTGCTCAATGACTCAGACTAGTCCTGGTGGTTGCCTCTTGCTTGTCCCTCCTCAGCAGCACCCAACCACCCAGACTCCCAGATTTTCTAGCTCTGACTGACAAAACGTTGGCAAACAGTAAACCTAACACCAGACTGCATACT